GTGGCGCTCGCTCGGCTCTCCTGGGGTCTAGGGGTAGAGCAGCGACCCATGGCTTCTGCCTGCCCTCATGACCGGTGATTAGAGCCATGCAGGTTGACTGTGTCCGAGGGGATCCCGGGCTCCGACTCACCCTGGAAATGGTTTTAAATCAGAAAGCGGTGACGGGGATACTGCCAGGGGCTCTGCTGATACGCCCACCGGTCGTTACCAGAGGTCTAGACACACTTGCCCCCTGCCGTGAGCAAGAGTGTGGACACTATGCAAAGTGGCCCAGGGCTCCCCAAGGATTAAGAAGCAGCGTCCACGTCCCCAGCAGCCCCTGGAGGCCCCCGGCCACCCTTCCTGTGGCCTGGTCAGCTCTGGGACCCCTGGCCACTGCTTCCCAAGGCCAGTGCTCTTTGGACCCCCTGTCAGTGGCACCACTGGTCCCAGAGCGAGGGTCCTCTGCTGCCACCAGGGCTGTGGCTTGTGAGCTCGTGTCCCTTCCCCGCCCCCAGCTGGCAGAGGCCCTGCACCGGCAGAGCCCCTCCAAGCTGTTGGCTGCAGTCTTTAGTCTTTCAGCCCAGCGTTTCATCGGAGGAATGTTCTAAATGCAAATCCTGCTGGGCGTGGTGGCGCACACCTGTCATCCCAGCACTCAGGGAGGCTGAGGCAGGAGGATCATCCCAAGTTGAAGGCCAGCCTGGGCTCCATAGTGAGTTCTAAGCCAGTGACTAGACTGTCAGAAGACTTGTGTTCTTAGTGAGAAAAAGATGCTGCGTGGACCTAGGATGTGTGAGGAGTGGTGCTGGCTCCTGCGTGAGTTTGAGCAGCTTACAAACTCAATGGCATGGCCTTGGGCTGTAAGTCTTTCTGTCCCACACCAGACTCCCAGTGGTGCTTACAAAAATCCAAGCTGCACGACTGAGCAGCCGCCATGGGCACGCAGAGGAAGTCCTCTTGGAGGTCACTCCTGGCCCTGGTGGGTGAGGCTGGGGCTGCCCTCCCAGCGCTCCTGGAAGGGAAGTGGGCCTTGGGGGTCTGCTGCTCCACCCCACAGATGCCCCCCACCAGGGTCGCCCTTTCGGCGGCTCACACACTGGGGCTGTTTCCGGTACAGAACTGTCCCCAGGTTACCCTCCAAGTCCGTGGGGTGCTTATCTTTTTTCTCCTTATTTAACTTCTCTGCATCTTGGAGGTCTCAGTCAGAGGTGCCAGGTCCTCCTGTCCGTGAGGACCCTGCTCACCCAGCCTGCATCTGTGCCCCATGTCGTTGTCACGGAGCTGGACCGTGTGCGGCCCCAGCAGGCCCTGTTGTTGGGCCGATGGGGAGGACAAACAGTGGCCGTGCGTGTCCCACTGCCTGGACGCGGGCCTCCTGGCTGGGGGCCGGCCCAGCCTGGGCAGAGCGGGCTGTTCGTGTGCTTTGTCTCGGACTTTTGGAGAATGAGCTTTAAGGAGTTGGCAGTGACTTTGCAGAGTCAGCGTGAAGCCAGGGCGTGGCCACCTCGCTCGCTGTCACCCTGCTGCCAGCCAGGCAGGGATCGGGGAAAGGGCAGGTGTGGGGTCACCACCCACCCGGATCCAGCCGCGGCCAGCTTCCGCTCCTGCTGGCCACAGAGGTGCCCGAGGAGGGAGGGGCGGCCTGGCCTCCTGTGTGAAGGAGGCGGGCAGGCCGTCCTACGCCCGCTGCCCGGGTTTGAGTTCCAGTGCTGCCCTTGGCTGGCTGTGTGATCTTAGGCAGGTCCTGACTTCCGGGCACCATCTGCAGTCTGGGATCACTTTGGGCCCAGCCCAGAAGGTGGCCGACCCCCACACAGCGGAGGGAAGCTCCGAGCACGGCATCTAGTGAAACGTCCGTGTGTCCTGAGTCCACGAGGGTGGGTGCTCTGCTGTAGGCTCCTTTAAAAGCTTTATGCTATGGACCGGGGATATAGCTCAGTGGCATAAGCACCTGCTTGGCAAACACAAAGCCCTGAGTTCAATTCCCGGTACAAAAAAATAAAATAAATAAAAACTTTATTCTGAGCTGCTTTTTGATTTGCAGAACAAGTGAAAAGATCATTCAGAGGGTTTCCTTGTACTCTTTAGCCAGGCTTCCCTAACCATTTAGTAATCAGAATCAATACGCAGGGGGCTGAGGCAGGAGCATTGGGCTACAGACCCAGTCTCAAACAAAAGGAACCAACCAACCAACCAAAACAAACAAAAAAGAACCCCACCAAGAATTACGGTTGATACAATGTTACTAAAATTCATGACCCGGGGAAATAAACATTGTAACAGTGTGAGAGGCTCGCCTTGGTACAGTGTTGCTATATCAGGGCCAGTGGAATTAACAGAGTAACAGCACAAGAAGTTAACATTGTCACAGCACCTTCAGTAACTAAAACTAAACCCTTCCCTAGTCTTTTAGAGCCCCTGGTGGTAGTGACTCCTCAGTTTTCTTCCTTTCTGTGGCCCTGAAGCTCTTGGAGATGCTGGCGTTGTTTTGCTGAATGTCCCTCCTGCGCATGGTATTTTCCCATGACTGGACCCAGGTTGTGCAGGCCAGGAAAGGCTGCCCCTGCCGGCCTCCCACCGGTGCTCAAGAAGTTTCTGATTCAGGAGGATTTCAGCCCGCTTGGCTAGGGAGGCTCCACCGCGCGGCGTGTACCTGAGTTTGGTCTGTGTTGGGCGTTCTGTGTTCCAGCAGCACCCAGAACCGCACAGTTTATGTTGTGGAGGTTCTGGGGTGGGGTTCGCTGTCAGGGCGGGGGCAGGCCCTCTCTGTCTCCCCTCCCCGCATTGCCAGGCAGTTCTGGAACTCATCCTTCAGCATCCATCCCGCTGGGGGAGCTGAGGGGCAGGCGCCACCGGGTGGGACAGGGAGGCGCGGCACGCCTGTCCTGAGATTATCTTCATAATTTTCTTCCTTTCTGAGCACAACCCTAGACACGGAATTCCTCGGCAGCATCTCCGGGTTTGGGGCAGGATGGCACGGTGGGGCGGGGGGAGAAGCTCCGCCCTGCCGCCTGTGGTTTCCAAGCCTGCGTCTGCGCCCAGGCGCGAGGTGCTGGGCATCTCTAGGTGGCGGAGACGGTGCCCTGTGCTGCTCACCCCAAGCCAGCAAGGGATGGCACCTGCAGATGGTGCCCGCCTGGCCCGGCCTGTGCTCAACGCTGTCCCAGGCTCTCCGGGTGGGTCCATTCACGGACTAGTGTCGCCACCAAGCTCGGCTTCGGCTCCTCCCGGCCAGCAGCCCCGCAGCCTGACTTCATCCCCCCTGAGGGATGTGGATTGTGCTGGCCCTGCTGACTTCCTGCTAGAACAGGGTGAGCTAGAAGCGAGTAACTCAAAACGCTCGTGTGGAGATCTGCTCCCGGGTGTTGGGAGCTCCTGGGGAGCAGGAAGGCGCTGGCTGGGCCTTCCAGCCAGCTGCACCGTGCCTGCTCCTGAGGACGGGCGTCGGCGCTAGAGTCAGGCAGAGAGGGGTGCTCTGGGCTGGGTTTTCAGCTACGCTGTCAGAGCTCCCCCGAAGCCCGTGGGCTTTCTACCTCCAGTCCCGGGCCTCACTGTTGGAGTGCGCCAGGGGCCGCTCAAGAGCTCATGTTTAAAAAGGACGAGACTCGGTGGGCTCCAAGCCCCCCTCGAGTCCTGCAGACAGCGTCGGTCTTCGAGCCACGTGGTCACATTCATTTCTTCCCACGTCACATGGAAATCTTTTAATCCCAAGAACCAAAAGAAGCATGAGCTGACTTAAACCACGCAGGGCTGCCCAGTCTCATAGGGCTGAAGTGGGGGAACTGCAGTGAGGGAAGGAGCTGGGCAGCTCCGGAGGGCTGTGAGGCAGAGCTCAAGGACCCAGACACCCGGCAGGCTCCTTCCCAGCCCAGGTTCCATGGAGAGGCCACCCTAGGGCCCTGCCCAGCACTGCCCGGGCTGCGGGAGAGGGGATGGGGCACCTGGAGAGGCGGGCACAGCCGCTTCCCGAGATGGGCCGAGGACTGGCAGCAGACGGGAGGACCTGGCACCGGGCGGGTGCTCCCAGACCCTCAGAGGTGCAGGACGCAGCCCGCTGCAGAGGCCCAGATCCTTCCCCCTGCTGTAACCCTCAGCACTGGGCCCACCCCTCTTTGGTTGTTTTTTGTTAGTTGTTTTAAAACAGGATCTCACTGTGTCACTCAGGCTGCGGACACAGTGATCCTCCTGCCTCAGCCACAGGGTGCTGGGGCTGCAGGTGTGCGCCACCACGCCCGGCCCCCTCTCCCTCCATGGTACATTCGGGCTTTGCTCCTGGCTTTCTCTCCTCTCCCCTCCTGCTGCCCTGCTGAGCGCCGAGCCAGACAGGAGCGCTTGGCAGAGCTCCGGGGTGTGTGCGCTGCTGCCAGAGCCGTGGCTGGGTGTCTCCCGCCGCGGGGTGCTCCAAATAGACCACGGGCTCCGATTTTAAAACTGTGAAAGACACATTGCCTCGAATCCCCTCAGAACCCCCCTCCCTCACACACTCGTCCCACCGTCCTGGCCGCTTTCTGCGGCAGCTCTGGAGTCCTCTTTCCTGAGAGTCTTTATGAGGTGTGATCAAAGCTAGAGTGACTGCCATCCAGCAGGAAGACAGCTCGTAAGAACGCGACGCTGGGTGCTCCTCCACCTTATTCACCGGATCTGGCACTGTGTGACTTCGGCTCCTTCCAAGAGTCAAAGTGACGATGAAAGGGAAACGTTTTGAATCCATTCAGGAGACTGAGGCAGCCAGGGCAGCACAGCTAAAGACTCTCAGAAAAGCGGACTCCAGAGCTGCTGCAGGACGTGGCCGGGACGATGGGACGAGTGTGTGGGAAGTGGGTCGGGTTCTGAGAGAGGTTCACCGCAATGTGTCTTTAACTCTAAAAAGTTACAAAAGTGCAGACATTCATTGTAGTTTTAACTGATACCTTGTATTCTGTTAAATTTGCAGAGCTTTATAGAAAGCATGTAATTATTTTTTAAAGAAAAACAGCACCGCTTCCTGCTGCCCTCCTCACGCTGCTTCTCTCTTGCAGGGCTCACTGTGCCTGTCCTTCCCGCTCGACCCGCAGCCGCAGCCGCTGGAGCTGGCGGTCTCAGAAGTGTCCAGCGTGACCAAGTCAGCCCAGGAGAAGGTAAGCAGGCACTCACTGGTGGCCTTTCCCTCCAGGACGAAGTGGATTGAAGACTGGAGCTGGGAGAGTGCCATTTATTTTAGAATTATCCGCACTACATAACACTTATGCCATTAAAAGAAAAAAAAAATGCCTGAGCTATAATCCCAGCACTCTGGGAGGCTGAGGCAGGAGGATCGCAAGTTTGAGTGCAGCTTGGATGACTTAGGGACCTAGCCAAATTCTGTCTCAAAAATAAAAATGAAAAAATGAAAAGGACTGGAGATGTAGCAGTGTGAAGGCACCCTGATGCAGGCCACCCCACGGGGGACACATGCTGAGCAAGAGAAGCCAGTGCAGAAAGCCCTGCGTTACCCAGCACAGCGCTGGCGGGCGCAGGGGTCGTGGGGGCTGCACCTGCAGTGGTGACGGTGAGGGTTGCCCAGCTGGGACGATGCTCGGAGGCCTCTGCTGCGAGGTTGGTGCAGGACTCAGTTCGTGTCTGGGTGCTTGCAGTCTGCAGCGTGAGGACCACAGCCCTGCGAGGCTGTGCCCGAGCTTCCCCTCAGCCTGAGCAGTGCAGGGATGCTGAGCAAGCTTCCGCCCCCAGTGCTGGGGGCTTTGCTCAAACCCCGGCTCCCCGAGGCTGGCGTGTCAGGCTGCTCTGTGTTTGCTATATTAATGTTGCCGTCTCTGAGCCTGGCAGGCTGCGTTTTTTCCCAGCGTGAAGGACGGCTTAAGGGGCTGGGGATCTAGCTCGGCGGCAAAGCGCCTGCCTGGCAAGCGCAAGGTCGTGAGTTCGGTTCCCGGTACCGGAGAAAAACCAAAAAAAAAAAAAAAAAGGAAAAGAAAAAAAAGAAAGACGGCTTAATTGCCAGGTAGTCGGCAGGACTACCGACTCCAGGGACCTCCCCTGCTGGACACATGTCGCCCGGTGGATCCTCAGGGCACAGGACATCTGCTTTGCGTCGCAGTTAGGCACACACCGGTGCTTTGGATTCATGACTGTCCAAAGTGGGCTCCCCCACTGCACAGACGACAGGTTTTGTTTAATGATCCACAAGACGGCTCTGTCCTCCTCTATCCCTCCCTTCCTGCCTTTTAGTGTTGGTTTCTGTTTTGCTTGGGACAGGCTCTCAAAGGCTGTGTAGTTCAGGCCAGCCTTGAACTCCCAGTGATCCTCCGGCCTCAGCTTCCTGAATACTCTCCTGCCTTTTGAACTTGGGTTGCTCTTTCTTCACCCTCTGCCTTGTGTGTCTGCTTTACCTGTGCGGGTCACATCTGTGGGTCCGGGTTTCGTGTCTGAGCTCGTCTTGTGTTTGGCAGAGCGGGAAGCAGGACAGCAGGACAGCAGGGGCCCTGGGACAGCACCAGCAGCCCGCCCGGCCTGCCCTGTCTGCTGTGTCCTGTGATGGGGCTGTGTGTGCTTTTAGCGCTTTGATCATTTTATGATGCAGATGAGGCGCCCGGAGATTCCCAGGTGAGCGATGGGGCGCTAATTCCTCCTCCGCGAGGACAGCTCAGGACTGGGCGAGCTCCGGCTTATTTAGATGCCGGATAATTAGCTGTTTCCTCTTCCTCAGAGCTCCGGCGGCAGACGCTGCCCTGCCGGGACCTGCGGGGGTTTGCTCTCCCGACTCCGGGTGGGTGTGGACCAGCCCAAGGTTCATCCCCGTTTCCTGTGCCCCGGAAGGGCAGGAGGACGCCCCACCCCCACGCCCTTGCGGGGATTGAAGCCACAGCTGTGTGGGGGGTCCCGGGGCAGCAAGTGCTGCTCCACTGGCGGCAGACAGGGAGGGAACCTCTGTTCCGGGGAAGCTGCTACACAGTGTCCTCTGATGCTTCTCCAAGCACAGAGGGACAGACTGCAGGGCTGGCGTGGGGCCGGGAGGCAGCAGAGTTGTGGACATAGTGAGACCGGCTTTAAAGGTCTCTTAGTGCCAGAAACGCAGCTGGAGGAAGTGGCTGACAGAACTGCATTGCTTTTAGTACAATCCCAGCCATGTGTGCAAATTAAAAGCTGAAAGCTGCCGAGTGTGGAGGTGCCGGCCTGTAATCTCAGCACTTAGGAAGCTGAGGCAGGAGGATCGCTGTAGGTTCCAGGTCAGCCTGGGCACCATAGTCAGTTTAAGGCCAGCCTAGAATACATAGCAAGATCTTGTCTCAAACTGGCCTCCCCCCAGAAAAGCTAAAAACGATATAGTATTTGTAGGCCCCTGTTCAGGACCGCGTTACCGACAACAGCTGAGAGAGAGGCAGCCCACGCTGGGTGAAGGGGTGGAGGAAACGTGGCACATCGGGACAAGCTGTGGCCCTGGCTTCAGCATGGATGAACCAGAGGGACATTATGCTCGGTGAAGTGAGGCGGCACAGAGGGGCAGATTTCTATTTGGAGGAGACAGAGTGTACCTGTTCAGGCTGTCCTTGAACTCACTGTGTAGCCCAGGCTGACCTTAAACTTGGGCAATCCTCCTGCCTCAGCCTGCAGAGTGCTGGGTGACAGGTGTGCATCTCAAAACGGTGGGGCTGGGGGTTGGGGAGGGGCAGGAGTCAGAGTCTGGCGGGACAGAGTTTCCGTTTGGGAAGGAGGTGGGTGTGGGGGTTGCACGGCAGTCGTGCATGTGCAAGGGGGGTGGACAGTGTGTGCGCTCAGCGCTGTTGACCTGAGGTCAGCGCTGTTGACCTGGAAGTGGCTCAGATGGCAATTCCGCTTTCTGTGTGATTTACCGCAGTAACACAGCCGTACACCGGTCACTGTCTCCTTTCACGCATAAGAAAAGAGTCTGAGTCGCCTTTTTCTCCCTGCCGGCCTGTGGCATTGCCGGGAGAAGAGCCGGGGATGTAGCTCAGTGGTAGAGCACCTGCCTGGAAAGAGCAAGGTCCTGAGTTCGATTTCTGATACCAAAAAAAAAAAAAAAAAAGAGGGACGGGGAGCTGGTCCGGCTGCTTCCAGGGGCGGATCTGTCTCAGCCATCGAGTGGGGCGGGGGAGGGACAGGGCAGCCCCGAGAGGTGACAGCGACCCTGGGAACCTGCAGGCTCAGAGAAAGTGCTTCAGCCCTTGTCCTTTCAGAGCAGTCACAGGACAGTGAGAGAGGAGGGGCCTGTCTGCTCCCAGTCTGCTGCTCATTCTCACCGAGGTAATAAGCAGAATAGGTGTGTGCGTGTGCGTGACACTTTGTTTTGTTTTGCACACTGGAGATTGAACTGAAGCCCTTAACCCTGAGCTAGACCCCAGCCCTTTTTATTTTTTATTTTGAGACAGGGTCTCCCTAAGTCACAAAGTTGCCTAGTCTGGGCTCGAAATTATGATCCTCCTGCCTCAGCCTCCCAGAGTGCTGGGATTACAGGTGTGTGCTGCCACGCCTGGTGTAGACAGTTTTTTATGCCTTCACATAATAAGCCTTCTTGAAAAGCTCTTCACTTTTCTGTCGCTGAGCTGTGCTTTACCGATAGGTCCTTGTGGGAGCCGCCCGGGTTCTGTGTTTACAGGCTTTGCTTCCTTGGAGGAGTGGCATGGTCACCCCATTTCCAGAAGGGCTCAGTGCCTCAGCGGGGTGTCACTTGTCGTGCATCCCAGCTGGGGCGGCCGTGGACACGTGTGTCACACTGAGGAGGTTAGACACGGGGCTTCGTTTAATGCAGTTCCCGGGCTAGGGGTCCAGAGGTGTGTGCTGTTTCTCCCTTCCAGCCTTGGGCCCAGGTCTGCCTTGGCTCGCTCTCAGCACCCTCTCAGTCTCCTGCTTTGCGTAATCCTATTTATTTACCTACTTATTTTTACTGGTTTTTTGGAGACAGGGTCTCGCCCTATAGTTCAGGCTGGTCTTGAATCCGCTCTGTAGCCCAGGCTGACCTCAAGCTTCCAGCGATCCTCCTGCCTCAGCCTCTGGGTGCTGGGATGACAGTGTGCACCCATAACGCCCAGCTTTAATTCTTGAAAAGAAAAAGCTGCAGGCCCAAGCCCCCAAAGAAGCACAAACGTTTAATGTCTGCCCCCGGCCCCAGGCCGTCTTTCTCCTCTAACTCAGCCTGGAGCCGGGACACATTCAGCATCTGAGCGAAGACAGGCGTGAGCCCGCCTGGGCGCACAGGCTGTGCCACGTGGTGGTGTCTCTGAGGACCTCACTTCCGGTCCGCTCTCTGTGAGCTGGCCCCTCTGTGCCAGGTGCAGGGATCCCGCTGGCCCTGCCAGGACAGAAGCAGCCTGCCCTGCACAGGGCCCTGGCGCGGGTCTCTCCTGCACTCGAGCCCTCCTGTGTCTTCGTGCTCGCCTTTCCAAATACCTGGCCCTCGGCAGCCTCCCCGTGGTAGACTCCTCGGCAGACTCCGTGGGTCTCGGGGTCGTCCCCTGTGACCAAGGGCAGCCCGAGGTCCCCACCCTGCCCGGCTCAGGGCTGAGTCAGGACGGTCTCCACGCGTTCCTGCACAACATCCACGTGCTTCTGCTCTCACCACCAGCCACGGGCTCGCTGCCTGGGACCCGCCGGGTGTCCTGCAGTTCCTCCCAGCCCTGACCCAGGGCCTGGGACACTGCAGGGCTCAGCCCCACCAGCCCGCCTCAGCCCACCGCCAGTCCGCGCCCCCTCCTGGTTCTGACAGTGGCTTCTTCCTGTGCTCCCTGCACTCGGGAGCACAGCTCCTCTGACCCAGGGGCAGCGCAGCCTCTGTGTGGGCGAGCTGCGTGGGTGGGGTGCCCGGTGCCCTCCCTGGGTGCCCCACACACAAAGCTAGGAAGCCCGGGACCGCTATTTAGGGACATTTGCAACAGAGGCTTCGGGACTTGTGACCTGGGGGGACCCGTTCCTGGTGGCTCCAGTTACAGGCTCCTCCCCTCCCTGGAGGCGGTGGAGGGGAGGGTCGCAGTCCCAGGCAGAGCCACCCACCGCCTCACCAGCACACGGGAAACTCCTGTCGCTGGGAGGGGCTGTCGGGAACCTGTGTGCAGGAGGCTGGGACTCGGGTCAAAGGTTGCTTGTGGCTGCCGCTTACAGGGTCGCTTTCGTAAGGGGCTGTCGCCCTGCT